AAAAAAAAAAAAATAAAAAAAAAAATTTCATCATCACCCGACTCTAAAAGCTTTGTACCTGCAAGGGAAAATAAAACATGCATTTCATACGAGTTCACTAAAACATCACTTTACCAGATTAACCAATTTCAACCACCAATAACCTCCAAGGACAAAAAGGATTAATCCCCTGGCCACAAACCAAAACCATGCCCAAACAACAGAATAAATTATACTTTTTTCTTGAAAAACAAAGAAATAAAATCTTAACAGCTTCCATTCTAACATCCACCAGGAAACAAAATAGAGCCAACTGCAAATAATGAATTTATTATCAGGGTCAATAATAAGAAACCTGAACAATTTGATCAAAGATCACCAAAATAAGAAACCCAAAATGCAGAATGAATGATGCATTTTCTCCAAAAATAAAAAATTTAATAATAAATAATAAAGAAAACATTAGCATCTTCAGTACTAACATCCGCTAGGAAAACAAATATTACAGTCAACTGCAAGTTTGCGACCAATGAATTATTAACAGGGTCTATAAGAAAACCTAAAACAACTGATCAAAGGTCACAAAATCATTAAAGTTTACATATGCTGAGACTGCCGGCTGTGGTCCCTAACAATCCCTAATATACGGAAGTAGTCATAGAACAGAGAAGATTCCTTGCCTTCCAACCCGTCTCGACTCACCCTGTTACTTCCAGCAAGGTTGTTACAAGGGCTACCACCAACCACCAAATCAAACCCCCCTATGCTGTCCATGATCTGCTCGATCCCCGGGGAGTCAAACTGCTGAACATCATCATAGTCATAAAGGGTGCCTCTCTGGTTCGTCTGCTCCCACCAACTCCTCACAATGTCCCTGTTAACTTTTGATTTCTCGACTGAGACAACGTTCTTCAGCTTCACCCCAAGCCGGTGCAGAGCAACCTCGGCCCCGCCTATGCCTGAAAATAGGGAGAGCATGTTGATTCCATTTGGGTACAACTCCTTCAGGACAGATAGGTGATAAGCAACCGTATCGACCTGAAAACGAAAATAGAATTAATAGCAGTGAGAAGTAGAAGGAATTCATAGGACACTTTTTCTAATGATAAAATTTTATTTATTTATTTATGTGTAGAAACTATGTAAATAGTGAGAGGGTATTATTTGAAAATGAAATCAGCTCTAGTTGAACGTTAATGTTGGTCCGATAATAAGAATTAAAGTAGAAAAAGAACGGAGAAAAAGACCTTATCCTCCACCCAACGGATTCCATAGCCAAGAAACCAAAGAGATGAATACGAAAAACAATAAACAAGAACAAAAACACAGGATTTTCATTTTGTTTATCCTATTAAAAACAGAACTAATGGCAGCGAACTGAAGTATTATTTTTTGCTAATGAAATAATATAATTCAAGCTGGCAGTTGAAGGATTACGTGGATAACACAACTGAATAGAGAGAAGGTGTTATTTTTAGAACCATATCAACTCTAACTAATTTCATCTAGATATTGCTAAAGCCCCTTCGTGAGCACCAGCCCTGTAACAAAGCATACCTGAGACCATTTAAGCTCACCGGTCTAATAATAATATTAAAAGTGAAAAACCAAAAAATAAAAACAAAATAAAATAAGTAAGTATATAAACCTTATCCTCAGGCTGACTGACTCCGAAGTTTTGCATACTTGGCCAAGATGGAGAATAAAAAGAACACCAAGATTTTCGCTTTTATTATCATATGTAAAAATAGAATATTCACCTGAAACGAGTTCCCCAACGATTTATATCTGTCTGTCCTGCTTATCCCTCCCCCTCTGGTGTGGTTCTTCGGAAACCCGAGAAGCATCTCCACCTCATCAGGCTCCAGCGGGGCCACCTTGTTCCTCCCGACCCAAACCAAATTCCACTTGCGGCACTGCTCCAAGATGTCCCTCTTCACCGACTCGGACGGGTTCCCATCCGCCCTCTCGAGCCAGCCCCTTATGCGCTCTGTCAGCTTGGCGCTCCCAATAGCCGTCTGTATACAGTTGAGTTTGTCCCTCGTGTCCCATTCGGGCCACCACTTCCTGGACAGTGGGAAAGCCTGCTGGATCGTCATCGGTGGCAGCGGGACCAACGGAAAACGATTCTCGATCGGGAGGTTGTGAACGTAACCCCGCTTACGAGCGGCGGCACTGAAGTACTTGGAGTCGACAAACTCGGGCTCGACCTCGTAAAGGAACTTGGATATGGTGTCCCAGACTCCCTTCGGGGCGAGTGCCACGTTCTCATAGTAGAAGTAAGGTGGGCCCCGCGCTAGCTCTGGCAAGTTGCGGGGGGTCATGTGCTCGGGCTGGAGGGAGGGAACGCCAAAGCCTATCATGGGCTTCGGCAGCCGGATGAGGTCCTCCACCACGTCCTTCTTCTTGCATGTTTCGTGATATTTTCTCTTTTTGCTGCTGCCTAATCCGAGTAGGCGCTTCGGCTGTGGAGGAAGTTGGAATTTTGATCCATTTATTATTAATATTATTATTATTATTATTATTATTGGAAAAATGATTTAGGAGAAAGTAAGTTCGACCTTGAGATCTTCTGCTGGCATGTAGCAGTCTGCCTCTCGAACCATTTGGGCAGCATATATGCAATCCGCCAAGACAGAGAGTGACTCTTCAGGGCCTTGAAACAAATGAGTGCGGTAAGAAGATGAAATGAGATTTAGAAATAGGTGAGACAGCACGTAAATTAAAAGCGAGTGCGAGATGAAAAACATTGTTAGAAGCCTTTTTGTGTATCTCACCACATCTTTTCATGGCTATTGTTGCCTCTTCTACTGAGAATCCCATGTTTGCCAAGGTTAGCAGTTTTTTATCCTCCTCGGATATTGATCCCGTATCGGCCAACATTAACAACCTTTTGTGCTCCTCAGACACTATAGCAGGTTTTTCCTGCATGAGAAATGCCAGGGGTAGAAAATGTGTCAAAATAATCTCAGATGCCTAGACTACATATGTCAATGACTTACAATTGTTATAGAGTAAAAATTTTCAATAAAAACACAGACTTCAGTTGGGCAACTCAATAAGAAAGTGTCAATAGTTTGTGATTTGGAAAACAAAGAACAGGTCCGACAATATGTTCCACATAATCTGATAAGCATTCTGTTAAGGCAATTAGTTAAGAGTCTTAAAAAGAACCAAATTGTGGATACTGGCCAAAAAACCAAAAAAAAAAAAAAAAAAAAAAAAAAGATTTATTCAAAGCAGGTAGCAAAACTGGTATCATATTGGGAAAAAGAAAAACTAATGATGGAATGGCTCTTTAGTTCTTTTACACTGAGTGATTCAAAAGAAGATAAATGATATAACTCGAGATTCATAAACACAATAGAAAACAATAAGAAACAAAGTTACGCAGAGATATCAAAGCATCCGTAGTCTGAAGCCATATCTACACAACATACGCTATTGCACTTTGTAGGAAGAAGATTTAATGGCATAACAAAAACGTGTGGTCACTATATGAAAAAAGAAGGGGAAGAAAGTTAAGTCACAAACTCATAATATCAAATGCATGTTCTACTCCGAGGCCATAGATACACAACATACGCAATGACAACTACAGGTCGTTTATATTACACGGCAATAAATCCATATCCCTAAAAAAAAAATTAAAAAAAAAAAGAAAGACAATAGAATAGAAACAGAACCAAATATTGCTTACTTTCTGGTTTTAGAATGTGTTTTCTTCGGAACAAACTTATGGGGTATGAACTAGTAGTAAATGCATTGAGCAATAACTTGCTAATAACGAGAGGATTAATTACATACATCATTTTCGGACCAGCTACCCTCATCAGAAAGTTCATCAAGAAGCATTTCATTGTAATCCGAAGAGCTAGGATCAGAAGTTGTGCTCAACGGTTGTTGCGGTTGCTCAGGGGACTCTTCAAGACTCTGCAAAACATGAAGTATGCCATAAATGATTCGATATGATTGGTGGTTAAAAATATGTGAGAATGTATAAAGAAAAAGATGTGGAAAAATGTGTAATAATGATTGATGATTTGATGATTTCTTTGGAAAGTGGGTCAATGTATTGGTGGAAGAAAAATCACCAGACAAGTAAAAAGTGTAATTCTTTACATGAAATTTTGAAAACACAACTCATTTTGTGGAGAAAATTTTATTGATAGAAAATAATCAGTATCAAAACATATCCAGTCATTCCCTAAGTTTTTTCTACCCTGTTCAAAGTCTTACAATACATATTAAATGCACAAGCAGGCACATTTTCATCAAATAATTATAATAAATCTAAAAAACAACATGTTGAATGAAAATGGTTTCATAACATTGATAAAATATACAAAAATCTTGAATGGACTAAATCAGCTCATTGATCCAAAGGCAAGTGCCGACATTTGAACTTGATGACTTCTATAACTTCTTTTAATACTGTTTATTAATAAACAGCTCAGGCATCAAAGGAGAAAGAAGATAAAAGACTAGCTTAAGTGAATGAACAGATTAAGGACAATATATAAAACAATCTGACCATGCAAAATTCCGTTACATAATGACCATCCCAAGCAACAACAGTTGATTGGAAAAATTAAAACCCCTCTCCCTAAAGAACAATATGCATTCCAGATATGTGTGAGTACTAGCCAAACATTGCTAACCGCGAATGTTAAAAGGGTATTGAGGATAGCTTCAGTATCTCCTACTCCTCCTGCAGGATAAGGATAAACCACCAGACAAATTAGACACCACTATTACCAGGAAAATATATCGAACATTCTTTCCCAGTAAAATAATAACAATAAAAAGAAGAAGCACGGGATATTGTCTACCAGTTTCCTCAATGGCTTTGGCAACCAGTTTCTCTGAGAATCCCATCGCAACAAAATGCTCGATCAAATTGGCATTGGAAACTCCCGCAGATGAGCTTGCCTACACAAAAAAAAAAAAAAAGAGACTCAGTTACAGTTAATGACTCCTAAGATCCAAAGCATTCAAATTTCAAACCCATCGAAACAGACCCCATTGCCCATAGCTGTTAGAGTGGGCTGAGACGACGATGTCAATGTTCCTGATACGATTTCCAGCTCATCGTCAGTGTTCCAATCAATATCACCACTATCCTCCTCTCCAGTCATGTTTCCATTCTGCAAACATCAAATTCGGCACAAGACAACAGACAGAAACATAAACACAAAGAACCACTGAATGAATGTGAAGTGAGAAAAAATTGAACAGGATTACCATGTTTCTCTCTAGGGTTATGGACAGAGCACAAAAACCCCCCAGCCCTGTGCAAGAAAACAATTTCCACCATTAACCTATCTCATTGACATCGATTGTGTAACAGATACAAGCAAACAAACTCATGCATTTTGAACATAAATTTCCTGAATCTTCCAAAATCACAAATTCAGGAAGAAAACGAATTAAAAATTTTAAAAAAATTGAAAATAAAATCACGAACACTATAAATTATAGTGAAGAAAAGGAATCGAACACAATCACACGCACAGAATCAGATGATCTTCAATAAAAAAATCAACTTATCGTGCTCCGTTTGACGCCTCAGAAGAGAAACTGAGAAAAATGCACTACTTCTTCCACACTGAAAAAAAAAAAAAAAAAAAAAAAAAAAAAAANNNNAAAAATTAGTACTGTAAAAGATAATCGCAAGTAGAACAATTCGAGACGAATTTATGTGAGCACATAATCAAATTTCGTACTCAGAAATTGTATACAGAGAAAGATCAAAGAGAGTGAACAGAATTTGGGAGAGAAAATGAAACTGATGAAAGAAAAAAGAAAGAGATTCCCTCTCTCACAACAAATGCAAGACTATTCCCACTGTTTCATCGTGATACTTATTATGCAATTTTCAGTCAACAATAAAAAAAAATAAAAATATATAAAATAAATAAATAAATAAATAAATAAATAAATTTATCTTACGCGCCAAGGGGGAAAATGAAAATGGAAACATATGTATAGAATTAATTACATTTTTCTGCTCTTTTTTATTTTTCATTTAACTATAGACATTTATGTTTTATATTAATTAACTGTAATAATGTTTTTTGATTAATTTATTGTATAATAGTTACTACTAATATTAACTAATTATAAATTCATGCTAAAAGATTATGAAAGTTACACGCTTATAAAAAAAATTATAGCAAAACTTTTTCTTTGAAGTATTCGTTTTAAAATTTATGGTATCTTTCTATTTTTATCTCGTTAAACAATTTTTCGAATATCTAATTGGTTTTAATGTGATAGCAAACTCTTTAAAATTGCATAAATAATTATTACAACAATTTAATATTTTTTTTTCAACTAATAAATTAGTATCACTTGAATTTGTAAAAGTTATTATTCATTATATTTTTTTCTATCTCTGTAGTCATATATAAATAAATTTATAATAAAGTTATTTATTTTTAGAGGATTGACTTGTCAAATAAAGGCCATGAAATTTAATGGAATACACTAATGGTGAAATAGAGCAAGTAGCATGAATTGTATACACTTGCGTGTAGACAAGTCATTTTTGGATACTAATAAGTGCCAAAAATAAAGATGACAAACACTTTTTATTTCTTGGAATTTGTGTGTGTGTGTGTTTTTTAGAGGAGGTAGATATCTATTATTTATGAGGATGACAGCTGGGAGCATACTCATAATAAAGTAAAGTATCTTTCATATTTGGAGTATTGTGAGACAATCCTTATCTCCAACTCAATCTATTAATTAAAAATTATTTCTCTCTCATCTACCTATACAGTTCAATCTTCCAACCTTAATTTATCTTTATCTTTAACGCAACTCAACCTAAATATTTATTTTATTTTAATTTATTCAAAAATTGCAATTGTGTTCTAAAATATATCAAGTGTGGTTTCTATTTATAGAGAATGAAAAAATATGAGTTTTCATATTTTTTAAGAAACCAAAAAATTACACTTGTCCAATAAAAATGAGACAAGTGTCCCTTTTTCCCCAATATACAGGTCGCGACCTGAAGTCACAATGTGACTTGGGTCGCTCAAGTTTGTGACCTTTACCTTTTTTTTTTCTTTAATTCTCGTGGCCACGGATAAAAGTAGTCTCATAATAAAGCAAAGTATCTTTCATTTTTAGAATATTGTGATCTTCATTTTGCTATACACTTTGTAGTTTGTATGAAAACTTTTTAAAATTATATCATCAAAACGAATTGAATTTTATTAATATGGATCTCTAAAATAGCCCATATTGATTAGAGATTCTTTAAAGATATTTTCATTGATTTAATATCGAAAGATTTAGGGGGTGTATTCAATTGAGATTCTTAAGGACTTTTTAGAACTTTTTAAATTTGGTGACTTTTGTGAACTTTGTAGAAATTTCATGACTTTGGTGAACTTTTTAAGACTTTCAGAGAATTTTATCAGTGACTTTTTAAGACTTTCATAATGGACTTTTTAAAACTTATTGAGACTTTCATATACTTGTAGTTATAATATTATGTTTGAATAAAATATCAATAAACGAAGCATAATAACTAATATCAAAATGAATAAATGAAAAAAAAGATATCGTATATATTAATCCTCTAAAAAATTATGAATCAACTCACTGTTATGCGAAATGAGTTATTCACGAACATATTGTTCAGGATTTTAAATTTATTAAACGAGTAAATCGATCCGAGCTTCAATGAGTCGAACTCAAGCAGGGCCTTATATTTGTTTGTTAAAAGAGCACAAGCTCAAATATGTGTTAGACATCTCCGATACAACGACACTTATAATCAACCCAAATTAAGATATATTTCTACTTATTGATTGATTTTATTTTTTATATTATTTTGCATAATGATGCTATATTAGAAAAATAGTATTAGTATATATTTTTACAAGATACAAACATTGCCGAAAAAAAATAATTGTATCTTATAAAGTTAACAATAATATTCAAAATATTTCAATATCAACAAATAAACTATTTGAAATATTTTTTTTTAGTATTTTGAATTAATAAACATTTACAAATAAAAAGACAATAAAATAACAAAACAAATAAAATATTACAAGTGCAAACTATGGAAACATTTTATATTTGAAAAGTCAAATTCACAAGATAGCCAAATTTGAAAATAAAGGTATACACACATAAAATAAACATAATATAAAATATATAAAATAAAAGGTCACGTTAATATAAGTAATGAAAATAAAAATATACAAGGTATCAAAATAAATAAGTAAAATAATAGAGCATGAAAGTGATATAAGATACAAAATCGTTTTATAAAAAAAAGCGTGAAAAGAGACACATAAGTCCAGCAAAATCTCACCAATATTGATGAGATTTATGTTGAGACTTTTTCTTTGTAATTTTGTTACAAAAGTCTCTAAAAGTCTCACAATTTTAAAAAGTCTCATAAAGTATTTCCGTTTTGAATACCGGGTAACTTATAATGACTCTCAGAAAGTTATAATTGAATGTACTGATACTTTTAGAGACTTATTAAAAGTCTTTAAAAGTCTCAATTGAATACATGTAAATTTTTCAGAAGTCTTTAAAAGTTCTAATTGAATACACCAGAATTCTGAAAGTCTTAATAAGTCTCTAACAGTTGAAATTAAATTTCAACACGCCCCTTAAAATTACAATTTCAAAACAATTAGGATTACTAAGGAATTTTTAAAATTTTAGATTCTTTAGATTTGTTAAGACTTTTTACGACTTTTAAAAATCTTGGTGTATTCAATTGAGATTTTAAAAAGTCTTACAAATTCTGAGGTATTTAATTTATTTGACACTAAAATTTATTAAAACTTTCTAAGATTTGGTGCGATTTCTAAACCAAAAATCTTATACGAAATCTCACTTCAAATCCTACCTTCAGACGAAATATTTCCTCGAATTCTTCCAAAATATGAAAATCCTAAAAAGTCTCAAATCTTAAAAAATTTTAAAATATCACTTAAAATCCTAATTGAATACACCCCTACATTTATGAATATGGCATAACTATCAATTTATAATTTAAAAGATAAACTCCATTGGTTTGGGACCTCAATATGTATGACATAACCACAAAATAGATAAATAAGAATATCAAAATATAAATAAAAAAAGAACATTCAATGTAGAAATATTTGGGAGAGGAGATGAAACTAAAGAAAATGAATGAGGATAACACAATTCCCTCTTCTATCGTGGATGCTTGTGCAATTTTCA